ATATTATCTTAAATGATGTTAACGTGAAAATATGGTTGCATATGTATGTCTTGAGTGTTTGACGATGACAAAAACTATTACCTCTCTGCCACTTTCCTTAAAGGTGAAGGTTCTCTGTGTGTAACCCTTTCTTATTTTCTCCTCTTTCTTGTTAACACTAAATATGCTTGCGCCTTTAGAACTCGAACCTAGTTCACAGCTTGACTAAAATTATAAAGATTAAGTAAGCTTACTTTATCAATAGTCTACATTATAAAATTGATAAAAATAAAAAATAGACTGCAAGTTTCATTAAATATCCTGTATGTTGTAATTAAGGATGTGACAGTACTTATTATTTAAGAAGTGAAATTTTATATATGTACACAATAATTCTTCTAAATTAATTTCTAAACATCCAAGAATATGTTAAATATGTACTGCAAATGTTTATTGTATTATAAGTAATCATTAAAATCAATGCATTCATTTCTTATTGAAAAATTTGGCTAAGACTTTGTCGAAAACAGATGTCTAATTACCTCCCTTTATTTACATGAAATGTAAATTCGGTTATATCTTTGCAAATAATGCGCTTTTGAACTTACAATATTGTTAAATCTTCATTTGAGTATCAGATTTATGATATAAAACCATAACAAACTTGAGTTACTGGATCTTTAAGATTTTGTAAATGTTTATTTAAAGTCAAAACCAAATTGTCTGAGTTTATAAAATGAGATTGATATTTTATTCATTGATCATTCCAAAATTCCATTTTAAGGTAATTTTCTTTTAAAACAGATTCGGTGCATTTGAATACACACAGCAAACTAAAGGTAATAAATCATAGATTTATTTAAAGTAAAAAGCAAGAAAATACTATCTTACAATGAATTGAACGTTTAGTGACACTAAAATGACGATCGATTTTCAAATGATATTTATATTGTCATATAACCAACAATGTAAATCATATATTTGTATGCAAAATAACTTAAGAATACTATACAAATATAAAGATAGAATAGAAACCTGATAGCTTGGAGATGACTGTTCTGTTAGCATTATAACTGTCTTGATGTTGTTGTCGTCAACAAGAGACCAAAACTCTTCCATTGTATCTTTATCTGGTGACATTGACACAAGAAATGTGCTCTTTCCCTTGTAATTCTATGTAACATTAAAAGGAGTTAAATTAAAAAACTATCATTACATAAAGATAATATCAAGGTCTTAGTAATAAGCAAATTTAAAAGCAATTTAGTTTTAACGTTTACAGTTTAATCAACACATTTTATGTTGAATATTAAAAGATATGAGCCGCGTCACGACAAAACCAACATAGTGCGTTTGCGACCAGCACGGATCTAGACCAGCCTGCGCGTCCGCGCAGTCTGATCAGGATCCATGCTGTTCACTTACCAACCCTATTACAAGTAGAGAAACTGATAGCGAACAGCATGGATACAGATCAGACTGCGCGGATGCGCAGGCTGGTCTGGATTCATGCTGGTCGCAAACGCACTATGTTGGTTTTGTCGTGACGCGGCTCATATAATGTAACTGTTGAATTCAATTATATGATCTTACAGGGATATACATGGCACGCAACTGCTGTACAAATTTTGACCCTCTATTCTTCAATTTCGGCCTGTATGCATCGCCTGAAAAGAGCAATGGTGCGAGTGTTTGATGTATGAACATGTTCACTTTTCTAAGTTAAAGTAAGCAATAATATTTACTAGTATTCTGAAAACATGTTAATCTTTAGACATTATGTCGTTTTTGTTTGTTTATGACCTTGAGTTAAAATCATGCTCAAAAAGTGGGAGAATAATGAACTTATTATAAAACAAATATTATTTCGCTTGTTATTTAAGAACCAAAAAAAAATACAAACAATAACACAAAAATTAATGTTATTTCATAGAATAAAGCACGAAATTCCTACGAAAAGGTATAAATCGTTTTACTTTCTGACAAAAGTGTCTCAACATTAGAATATTCCGGACTTTCTGAAACTTCTGACGAAGAATTCACCACGCTTTCTTCAATAAGCTGAAATTTGTTAAAAGATATATGAGAATAAGACTATAGAATTGTCAATATATTATTCAAAATATTTTTTTTAACAGAAGAGTCATCAAGTGGAACGATGTCTATATGTTTCCCTTCTATGTTTTTGTTTTAGAATATCTATATAAGAGGTTCCAAAGTCAGACATATTTAAATTTTGATCATGTTAAATACCAATGATGTATTTACTGTATGAAAAAGATGGTTTATCTGACCAGTCTAATGATACAATGTAATTAATATTGTTCATAAATCTAGCCACCTGAAACTGTATCTGTAGTCTTGTTCTTGTGTTATTCTCCTCATTCTGTGTCATAAATGATAGGACGTCACCAAACTGCTTGGTCCACACAATATGGGTACCAAACAACATGGCATCAGCAACAGCTTCATGCAGGTAGACATACTGCTCCTATAGTTGTTGGTATATAATTTGAAATATATTAAGTGTTAAACATATCAAAGAAGGAACCAGTCGTTTTCACTTATTTGTAATGTTTATGCATCAGAAATGTACATCATTTTAAACTTTTAGAAATATCAAACATGGATTTAATAATGTTTGCATAATGGTTTAAGAGCATGTTAGACGTTTAACAACTGACAGAAGAAGCCACGTGTCGTGACGGTAAAATGTTAACATAAAGAATTTTGACTTCCATATAAAATACTACACATGTATTTCACTATAATAATACTTATTGCCAACATAGCTAAAGATGTAGCAAATAAGTATTTTTTTTGAAACTGTAACAAGATACCAACATTTTTTTTGAGAAATAAAAATATAGCACGCCTGAGGCATAATGGGCCTTTAAGAAAATATTTCGTACAATCTATGTTTGCAGCACACAAAACGTTCGTCGACATAACAGCGCATGTTTTAGTAAATGTTAATAGATATATTTCAATAATGATCATGTTTGAATCTTTAACACTGTTTTTTTTTAGATCATATCATACCGACTTCCATTGCACACCTTTGTGAACTGATGCAATAACGAATAAATGTACTGTTTAATGATAAGACTCTTACTCGAAACCTTTCAACCATAAAACGTACAACTAGACTATGGCATGCCGTATTGGATATTGCAGCAAATAGCAGCTTGATACGAGCATTGATTACATTATTTTCGATAATCATTGGTGCAGGAAAGGAAATCATTATGTTACCTTATAAAAATTCCAAAAAATTGAGCGGTATGCAATTATTGTCAAAATAAAACCAACCTTTGTCTGAACCATATTAACTCTTTGCTGTCTCAAAGTCTGAACAACCTGTAATGGTCTCACAAAACCTTCTACACGGGCTTGATTCACCATATTGTCAAGACCAATGAATGTTCCAGTTCTCCCAACTCCAGCCCTTACAAAAAGCAATATCTTATTAATAAACAGTAAAGGATATAATATTTTGGGAGCTTATTTAAAATTACGTACTTTTACGTAACATAGTAACTAAGTGAAGGAATATCAATACTTTTAATATTTGAAAAAGAAACTGTTTGATTGAAAGAAGAAATATCATAAATGAATGACTATTTCATTAGAAATACACATCGCCGTAAGTAATATTTGATTAAATCAATGGAAGTATTTGTTACTTGGTTTCATGTCCATTTCAAACATCTATTAGGAACGATAGCATGCTATATTTGTTTAGGTTAAATTTCTTTGTACTTCATAATGATATAATGTACATGCGTATTATCTGCAATAAAACGCTGTTAAAGCCTAAATCTGCATGCAAACGTATTGTGCTTGTCTGACAAAGCATGTCAGAAAAGTGTTAAAATTAACGAAATGTTTACATTTTAATTTTTCAAATAATTTAATATTTGTAGACGCCATGAAGATGGGCGCATTGTAACACCGCAAAACGTCCGTACCGCAAAACGTACGCGTGTGGACGTTTTGCGGCGCATATCGTACACATGTGGACGTTTTGCGGTGCATATCGTACTTGGTACGTTTTGCGGCGAGAGTGTGCCTTTGATTGGACTAAGTGAATAACAAAAATATTAAAATTAAGCATTGCTTTGGACAAAAGCTTTTCATATAATTGCATTAAGAAGTGGGAATGATTTTTTTGTGCTCTTGTTGACTATGGAGGTTTTGTTCTATCGTTCATTTTTACATGGGATGAATGAGGGCTTTTGACAGCGTAGTCATATTTGAGCGAGAGAGCTATATTGTCATGGAGATGGGACCTTTAAGTCGCCTAGTCATAATTTTGTCGCGGGGGGCGGAGGTGGGGATGAGGTTGCTTTTAGCCGCCTAGTCATATTTGAGAGAGAGAGAGAGAGCTTTTGTCGAGGGAGGGAGATTTTAGCCGCCTAGTCATATTTGAGCAAGAGTGCAAATCGTTTGGTTTGAATGCCATAATGTAATTTTATAATTGAACAATGCAATTTTATATTTGAACAAAGCAAAAGGTCATGGTGGCTTTATATCGCCCACCTGCCTATAAAGGTCCAACATGACAAGGGTAGATAACATTGAATTTTACAAATTAAAAGCAAGTACATTTCATGTACTTGGTCAGAATCTGGGTAACTGATATCAGTACTCAATTATACGTCTGAAATGGTCATCAATATCCAAATATCTGTAAATGACAAAGATGTGGTAATTTAAGCAAAATTCAATAGTGACCTTGAGGTCAAGGCCATTTCAAGGTCAATATTATAGTTGAACTATTCAAGATGTCCGTCCTGTCATAAATGTATGAATGACATCTGATCGTTGATAACAAAGAAATGGCAGTTTTATCACAATTCAATAATTTGACTTTAAAATATGTCTTTATTTTTATTATTCAAAGGCAAATAACTCTTGACATATTCAGTCGTTTTAGCTCATAAATGAACTTGATCGAGACTTATTGTTATACATATTCTGTATAAAAAAAATTAAGAATGGAGAAGAAACGAAAGCACTAACAAGGTGAAATATAGTGCGTTTTTTTTTTTGTTTGTTTGTTTTTTTTGTTTTTTTTGTGTTAGATTTAGCCTATAATCTAACTTTGATGAGATTTTATGGTCATAGATATTCTGTTGAAAATTGTCAAGATTGAAGAAGAAATGAAAGCGTTGGAGTGGTAACAATGTGAAATATAACAGATATTGTAATTCAAGGGCAGATAACTCTGGACATATTGCTTAGGGTATGTGGGATGCTAGAGTTGTTACAAGCTAAATTTGGACGGACAGACAGACAGGCGCATACTCAGGTGAACTAAAATTAACACTCAATAACACCTGATAATAACTGGTCAAAATTAACGAAAAATTATATAAACTTTAAAATATGGACGTTATGCGGCAGGACCATGCCTTTTTGCCGCAAAATGTACGTCAGAAAAATGTGGACGATATGCGCCGCAAAACGTCCATATACGTACGTTTTGCGGTACGGACGTTTTGCGGTGTTACAGCGCATGACGTTACGCGGCAAAATTAGTCAGTCACACTTTATTTCACTAAATGTGCACATAAAATTATGAAATATAAAGTCGTGAGCTCAAGCTCAGGTGCTAAATGTTTACTCGTTGCTACGCCACTTGTGAAAATTTGATCACTGTGTAATATATACATGAAAATATAATAAATACTGGGATTACAAAGTCAATCATATATTGTAATATTGATTTCGTGAAAATGAAATAATAATGTAAAAATATGTTTATAACTGAATACTGAATGTATACATACGAGCAATGAACAACTATTGGGCCTGCTTTAGATATAGCATTGGTATCAACGACTCTCCAGAAGTTAACAAGACACCATGTACTATCGGGAACATCTTTGTCAGGCCAGGATTTGAAATGAAATTGACGAATTCTTCGTCTTGGTTCATCATTCTGTAAAATGTTACAAAGAATCTCAATATATCTTCAATATGAAATAAAAGTTGTAAGGGAATTATAACATAGACAACATAGACAGGAAATGACGAATGCTGTTTCCAATGAGTCGCTCATGAAAAGACCAGGACCATTCTTAAATAAACCGTACGTCGCTACACACTTCATTGCACATTGTTTCGTGCATTAACATGTTTGGAAGCACAAGGACGTATTTAAAGCCCGAGTCTGCAATGATAGTTAGAGGGCTTCTGCAAATTTTATATTAATGCACGAAAAGAGGGCATTATGTATATTCTTACATAAAAAAGTATACAAGTCATCCAAATCGGTTTTGTTATTTGTGTTTCGAATATTAAAGAAACACGTGCTATGGCAGTTAAGGGTTGATAACAAAATGACCAGGACTGTTATGCATATAGAAATACGTGCACCAACGAATCGTAATCACGTGTATCTAGTAATTAGGAAAAGTAATAATTTCGAGTGCATTGTTGTAGAATGATGCACGTTTCGGGTTCAAATGCGTTACCAAGCATTTGAACAATAAACCGTACATTATTTTAAAAGTAAAATTGACATCTTTTCCATTCTAACATGCTAATATACTAATAATAAAAGAGAACTGAACAAAAAAAAACAAAACAAAAAAACATGTTTAATTACAGTGTACATTGATTGTAGAAGTAATTTTCCTGACGTCATTTGGTTTATTGATGTCATATCGGATGTCGCATGACGTATACATAAGCATTCCCTATTTATGCTGTGCATATATCAGGTAATATTTCACTTGATTGCCTTTGAAGCGTGTTAAAATGCATATTTTTATGCAAGAATAAAGACTAGAAAACAGTGGCATTAAAGCAATAACAGTACCTGTCTGACAAAATAAAGAAGATTTGCTTGTCAGTTTCGTTATTTAGAGCATAAATTGTCATATTATTGGACTAATACCATACAGATAAATAATTTTCATTTATATCATTTAACTTACCATGCGAACCTCCAAATGTCTAATAGTGTAGTCAAGGAATGTTTCTGTATTTAGAAGCTTGACGATAACTTTGTCATAGGTACACTCGTTTTCTTCATCTTCGTTAGGCCCAAACTGCATACACTTTTTCTAAAAAAAAAGAACCAAATTGGTCGTTACAAAATCAAATATATTTTTAAATTGTGTACATTTTTTTTCCCAAAGAGAGTATAACTTAGAAAGATGTATCATTTTAAAAAACTACAGTCTGGAGTTTACACACCAACCTAGATGGTAAGACGACAATAATTCTAACACTCCTCGTGATTGTGTCACAAAAAACAAAGAAGAAGAAAACCGGTGTTAAACTGCACATAAACACTGGTTGGGGACCATTATAATATGCGGCTGTTATGTTTTCTCCCTCGACTATATATTTTAAAAAGCCTTTTATTTTCAGTTCTTAAAATGTTTTATTTTCATACAATACCGAAATAATATCTCACATACACTAACGCCACGGATTTGATTCATATCAGTTAATAAATAATTTGACAAAACGGCGCCAATCTGTAAGCAGCGTAATAAGCCATCCTAAGTATACAACTCATTCATAAACGCTGGCGTCATTTTATACATACAAGAATGATAAATTGGGCACTGATGTAAACACAATACAATCCATTCTAAGACAGAAGTTTTTATTGTTGAAAACTTGATAAAATAACTTTTTTCTTATCATTTCTTCTGTTTAAGAATTTATATATCTTAGCGAAATCGAACAGCATTATACGAAAGTCGGCTTGAAAAAATAACAAAAGTGGTCTTCCTTATTTCATCTTGTTAGAATCGAAATAATATCGGTCTGAGCGGTGTTTATCGGCTATTTAACACCGGTTTTGTCGTTTTGATGCCAAAAGAAACAAACAAAAAAAAACAAAAAAAAAAACAAAACAAAAACACTCAGGCCTGCGACCTTCGTGATCAAAACTCAAACCGGTGTTAAATAGCCGATAGACACCGCTAAGACCGATATTATTTCTTAAATAAACTTACCGTTCCCATTTCTATCAAGTTAGTTTAGCATGACAATTTTATCTGATTAAGCTGCCAAACCATCCGCCCAAAGTCGTCAATCATCTGTTTAGTTGCACCTTGAAAAAAATTAAATTTTTAATCATTTTTATTTGATCTTGTTGCTGCATTCTTACTTAATTATTCATAACACATTTAAACGTTTAAAAATACTTAAATAAAGAAAGTATGAAGCGAAGATAAACGTTTTCATTATAAGTATATTAAAAATACCTTGTGATGCTACGAACTTTTTCGCTTTTTCATAACCCTGTAAAAAAACAAAAACGTAATAATAAATAATAATTCGATATATGTAAGTTATTTCGAAACAAGTAACGGTAATTGTTTGGACGAAAGATGGTGGCTGATTTGGAACGCTTCCGTGCGCCGTGTTGGCGCTAGCGACACAGGACAAAGCGACAAACGGCGCGTTGTCGGACTTTCGTCTCTTTGTCCTGTCGCTAACGATGTACGCCATACGGCGCGTTGTCGTGCGGCATGTTGTCACGATGTCACACTGTCGCTCGGTTAAAATCGAAGAATTGGCTTATAAGCCTAGCGACAGGGCGACATCGCGACAACCCGCTGTACGACAACGCCCCGTTTGGGGTGCTTCACTTGAGACAGGACGAACAGACGACAGCGCGACAATGCACCGTTTGGCGCTTTATCGTGTTGTTGACGAAAAGGCGATAACGATAAAGATTGCGTTGTCGCTCTCGACAACGCAATGCACAATGTACCAAATTAGCCACCATAGATGACGGATGTTGTTTTCATTTTGACTATATAAAATCTAAATCTGGTTTAAAAGTAGTCAACTAGAATATCAAAACAGAACGGAATCGTTTCAGTTAATAAGACCTCGGTATTAACCTAAATTGCAGAAACAAAATTTTTTGAAGAGTACTTACATCAATATAACAAGCGTTGATATAATCGGTATTTTTACCATCTTCTACGTCACTCAAAATAACACGTGTATGGTCATCTACGAGACGATAAAAACAAATAAAATAAAATAAATTAAAACAATACAAAACATTACAGGCATGAAGCAAGTTTTAGTAAATTCTGATTCAAAGGAAGAAAGTTTATTAGAGAAAAAGCGAGTCTTAGTGAGGGCCGCTTCCCAGGAACGTATCAAGTCTGAGGGAGGTCAGATTCCAAGAAAAGAAGCCAGTTTCGCGCAGTATGATTGCGAACAATGTCAGGAGGCGCTGCGTCTAGACTTTGCAGCAAGTCTAATACTGCACCGTGCCCAGATGTTTTTAAACCAGCCCAAAGGGACGCAGGAAAAAACTAGGGGGCCAAAAGGAAAAAACAAATTTTGTCAGCAATGCCCTAATAATTGCAGCTATTTTAACTGCAAAGCCCACAAATTCGCTGGGAAATTTAATTGAAATCCCCAAAAAGTGAAACCAAAAACTTTTTTTCCATAAATTATGTTGATCATTTAGGCCTGGGTGTTTTAAATAAAAATTTCTTTTGGAAACGATAAACCTTGCACTAAAATTTACAAAAAAAATAATATCTATTTCCATTAAAAAAGAATTGAAAAAACTATCTGTAAAAAAAAAAAAATTTGCCCCCCGGTGGGAAGTTTTTTTCTACGCCAGGGGGTTTTTTGACTTATATCTGAAACGCAATACTATGTTTTGCCCGGGGTAATAATTCTTTTTTGAAAAGCTGTGCCATATTGTGTAATATAATGCACTGAACTAACCAAACTGTTTGATATGATAATGGTGTGAAGCGTGTGAATACACAAGAATATTCATAATAATTCTTTTTGAAAAACGCCAAACTTACAGGCGTACATTTCCCTGTATCTATTTTTCCCTTTGTTTGCTATTTCATCTGCGGATTTATGGCTATGCACAAGACCATATGGTAATGTCTGGAATAAATAAGTTAAATAAAAAAGTATTTCTTATCATATAATTTTGACATTAGCTATTCAGTCTAACTTGACACAAATGATGAAAGGCAAATTATACCTCGACGCAAATAAAATAATTGTTAAAGATCACTTTCTTTGGAAATGGACAAACGTTTCATTGTGTTTATGGGTTAAGAAAAAACTGCATGCTTATCACCTGAAATAAAATCAGTTTAAATTCTTTATCTTAAAAATAGCAAAATCTAAGCAGAGTAGTATTTTGACTTTTTTTTGACCGAAAAAATAAATTTGGTTTTGAAAAAAAATAACAGAAATTTTTTAAAGAAAAATTGGGCCCTTTAAAAACGTTTTTAAAAAGAAAAAATTTTTGGGACGGGAAAAATATTAATAATTTGAATATAAATTCAAGAGGAAATTTTTCGTTTGGGTTGAAAATTGGAACAATTTTTCCAAAAGTAGAAATGACAAAATTTAATTTCATGGGTTATATTTAATTTTAAATTTTAAATTAAGTGAAAACAATTTCAAATTCCACGGAAAACGAAACAATAACTTTTTTTTCAAATTTAATTTTACCTACACAAAAAGTTGTTTACGGAAAAACACATCTGCTAAGCAATTACAACTATACAGCGTGCAGAAATACATTGATTATTTATAGGTGCGTGGCACTATTCAATGTACATTTTATAACAGCCATCGTGTTCAGAACCATTTTTGACCACGCCCACTTTGATATTTATTTCGCATTTTGACTTTTGAATATATTTTAAATTAAATATACATTTACTTTATTAAATATGACATAAATTTTATGCTCATATAGCGCCATATTTCACGGGTAAAATTAAATAATTATTTTCATATATTGTAAATAGAGTAGAATGATAGTGTGTAAACCTTAAACTCCTTATAAAACTGTTCGCAGTTGTTTTCCATTTTTTTGTAGATATAATCCCAAAGCTCACAAATCTTTATACCGGAACACTCCCCAAAACTGTAATAGTCGTTAGAAACTGACTCATTCATGTTTGTTTCCGCAATTCCTTGATGAAAAGAAAACAAACAATAATGATAAAACACTAATTATAGTGACTTAAGCGTATAATGAAATAAGTCCAAATGTTATTAATATTATTTAAAGTTGATAAATGTAAGCACATTTGCACATATTCGTTTTTTTTATTTTCATCTTCTTCAATAAAGACAATAAAATATCAGTTCCCTTACCATCAAATGACTTATTGTCATTGCCGTACAAATTTGATTTTCGTTTTTCTTTAAGATTTGTTGTTTTGTCTTTATATGCGTTTCGTTTAGAATTTCTTTCAGCTGATCTATAAAATATTGAATTAAACATGAAAATGAAAAATCATTATACATGTAAAAACATTTTTGCAGTTCGTAAAATAAATATATGAATGACCATGTTGTTTTGCAGTGTACGATGAAAAAAGCTTTGTACATAAAAATATAGATTTCTCATTAAAGAGTTCATATACATGTATAACAAGATTAGCAATGGTTTCTTATTTTAATTGCAATGTGTATGTGAAAGGTAACTCTGCAATGCATATTGACAGTACGGACTTGGGAGTGTCTTTCCTTCAACGATAAGAATGTTATGTTCCCATCTAAATATGACTTCTTGTTATTACAGCTAAGGATTTATTCTTCATGATAACTATTTAAGTGTTTTTTCTTCACTTCGTCACACCCCATTTAATTGCCCGGTTCCTTTTGTGCTCCGTCGAGTTCTTTGTGTTTGAATATATTTTATGTACTCCCTTTTTGTAAAGGATCATATTTGCAGTGAATGCACATGATGTCTTGTCTATCTGTAGGAAATTATTAACCTTACAGAATAACTGCATTTTTATGGCAGTTTATAAATTTTATACACAAGGCGGGAGCGAAATGGACATTACAGCGATAACCATTTTCATTACACTATATACGATCTAAACATCAATTACTTTCTGTCTTTGACAAAATCGGTCAGCACAATTTAGTATGTTAAATACATTTTGCAGCTACTGTGTAGCAGGAAAGACAATTATAACATATTCAGGGCAAAACGTATTCTTAACTAAGCCGAAAATCTTTCAACCGACAAACACGTATTATATGCGCAAGAACTTGAGCTACCAATAAATCCTGTAACGTATCATTGAAATTGCAATATTGGTATTTAAGAGGTGTAGTCCGGACAATCTTAAAAAATAAAACAATATATCATTAAAGGACCATAATTCTGGTCCAGAGAAGCTTCTTTGTAGCTGGCAACACAAAAACACAAAAATCTTTTTATTCTAGGGCCATAACTCGGCCAAAACTCATTCAAGCCAAAATTCTGCGTATTATGCGCAAGTATTTGAGCTACGGATCAGTCCTGTAAACTTTCATTGTAACTGCATAAGTGATATGAGAGAATAAGTCACAACAATCTTTATTAATTTTTTTAAGGGTCATAACTTGGTAAGATTAATGAAATACTTTATACGAAAACTGTTAGTTCTGCAATTGTACTCACTTGTACTTTCAATCATAGTCAAATATATTTACACGGTGAGGGTTTCAAAAAAGCTTTACAAGCTTCCTACCCAATCTGTAAATTTTATTTTTTGTACTTTTTTATGTAAATGTAAAAAATATTGTTTAAACTTTATATATTTACACAATATTTGTAATCATTTCACTTACGCATTTCTTTTCTTAAAAATGATGAATCCTATAATGACGCCTAATGCAATCACTATAACAGTGGCTGACACTCCCCAGCAACTGCAGCGGTAGTAGATGGTTGATCTTGTGACAAAGGTAGCACTTCTGGAAACAATACAAAACCAATATGAAGGTGGTCAAGTATTTAAAATTGCCCATAGCATTAGGCACATTTACTGATAAATGATTATAAGCATAATTATTGATAAGTGATCAGAAATAGCTTCTTTTAGAAGGAACAAATTAAACAGACGGAGCAGAAAGGAAAAAATCAAAAAAATCGCAAAACTGTTTTTTTTTTTCCTTTTAGCGATAGATTTCTATAGAGTTCAAATCTTTGTTTACGACATGTCATTTCACATTTAAAAACGGCCAGCTTTGTAATAATTTATGTACTTGAACAAGAAATGCCTTTGATATCTACGATAACTCATTTGTGTTAATTTTTTAAGTACACCCTTTTAAAACTAACTATGACCACTCCTCAACAGCCGAATTGTTATGCTTGCTGAAATTAATCATAGGCCTTTCACCGCTGTGGGCTCCAATCCCGCCGATCGATTTTTTTATTCAGCCAGCTTGCAGAATGCCACGTTTTTATTCAGATGTCCGATCGTGTCTAAAATAATACACAGTGTGATTTCTGTATCAGGAAAGCTTGAAAGTCGCCATTTGACCTTAAAAGTGTTGGTGATTTTAAAGTTAACAAAATAAATATTGATCAAATTCGAAAGGTCAACACATAATGTAATATAATTAATTTCAAATACCAATACTACAGTTATCGCCCTGCCATCCTGATTGACATCCTCCGAGAAGACATTTGCCGTCTGTTGGACTGCAGTTATCATCGCGATCACAGTGACATTTGTTGGAACAATTGTATCCAAATGTACCATTGCAAGCTTTAAAAAAGAGTTGCTACAATATTTCCTAAGTACCTTTAAACAATATCTAATTACGATATATCAACTAAAATATGTAAAAGGTGAGGAGTGATCAGTGAGCTAAGCACTAAGTATTACGATGTAAATTAGATATTCATTGCTAACTTCTTACATACCAAATAAAAGACAAGTGAATACGATATGCAAGTATGTCTAAAGGAACCCCTTTTGAATAATGCCGTCTCGCATCCATGTTCCTATTTAACTATTAAAGGGTGGTAACACAAACTTTTCTTATCATACTTTAATTTAATTATAAAATGTTTTGTCCGTTTGTGACATGATTGATGTTGAAATAAAACATACTACGAGTATTATCAATGTTGAGGGATATTTGTACTACAAAAATATGTCTAGAATACTTTCTATTATTATATTTGTTTACAATGACAAACATGTGAAAGTATGAAAACAAATCTATTGATAGTAAGCACTGAAATAAATGTGAAGATCAAATATAAATGTATTGCTGAATTTACAGGAATAGAATCAACGTGGTCTAGCAGAAAAAGAAGCTACCTTGCAAACAAATATGCAAACGTTTAAGCGCTATCACTAGATAACATCAAACTTTAGCGATTTGTATTTGAAGTTAAGGATTAAATCATTAAGTCAAAAGTTTACAAGATTTACCATCGTTACAACTGTCTCCATGCCAGCCTGCGTCACATAAACTTCGATCACAGCTTCCATTAATATGATTACATCTTGAGTTGTCGATACAGTGGCAAATATCATTACAATTATCACCAAAATGAGGAAAGCTGCAGGCTTCAATGTGGAAATCATACAAACAATAGTTAATGTGGTAATCGCAAGGATTCAATCAGACATCAAATAATTATATGTTATTCAGTGACATAAATCATATAACAAAGTTGAGTTCTGTTTCATATAAAGATATACAGACAATGCACAACGTATTAAAACATATACATTAGCTTAGCGTGAATTGGTATCATTAGACTAGGTGAAGTATAAAAACTATATAATAAGGCGTAAATAAAAAACGTGTTTTAAGTACAGATTGAATGCTTGTCACTTCACATTATTTTTAATCTCTTCTTTTTGTTAAATATTCCGTTTGCGCCAAAAGCAAAGTAACAACAAGCGTAATTACAATTAAAACTTAAATTGACATAAATGTGCGTTATTAGTTCAGTCATTTGATCATACTTAAAACGACGTCCAAGTGTATTGTTTTTAGAAATAACATAAAAAGGATGAAAATAATTTTCATATCTCCATATCAATTCAAATTGTATGCCATACATGTTAATGTAAACGCTTCTTTGGGATATGTTGACGTTAGGTTTTGGCTAGTAACTGTTCCGGTCATTAAGGTATCCTTTAGACATAATAAAGTGGTTAGATGTCCATAAATCTTAAGTATGTATAATAGTATTTAGTCATTGTACAGACAAATACAAACATGTGATATGAATATGATAATGCAAAATAGTGATGTCCCAATTGATAAACAAATCAAATAAATCACTATTTCGTTTAAGTGTAGAAAGAAGTATTTGTAAGTACAGACAAACACACAAACACTTACGTTTAAGTTTAGTTAAATATTGTTCAGACTATATAATGTAACCTACAGATAACCTATGATATTGATTAAAAATATAGTAAGCTAGCAAAACCTCTCAAAAAGCTAAATAATATCATATATAAATATTCCAAAGAGAAATAATTCTGGGTACGGGTTGTTAAGGTCAATTACTAATCACTGGGACTCGAAGTAATTGAAATGAAGTTTAAACCATATGTTTAAGATATTCATATTAAACACGCAGGATCAATTTTAAAAGGTGTTATACCTTGATCGCAACTAAGTCTGCCAAACCAGGATCGCATGTACCTGATAAACATTTCCTGTGATGGGATCACAACTAGAGTTCCTAAGGCAATAGCAGCTTGATGAGCAATTTAAGCCAAAAGATCTATGCTTGCAGACTTCATCCAAGTTAAAGAAGAAAGTTTCAATTAATTGCTGTTAATGCGTCACTTATTGAAAAACAATAACATGATAAAATATCTCTTTAAAACACTTCTTTTGTATAAATTATTTCTTAAGTGCCAGGTATCAAATGCACGCAATGAGTATACTGGCAGAACTATCCTTATTTTATATTTTGATTTTGCACTACACTGATACTGATACATACTGATAAATAATATACTGTCAAACATGTTTTGTTATTGTCTAAGCCGTATTGAGTTTCATAAGGCTGCCGTCAAAATTAAAGATAAATTTATTAAAATCTTATGATTAAGATAAACGTACTAGCGAAGACAGATACAGCTTTAACAAAAATCACCAAATTGTAAAATTCCTTTTTATATTATTAAAGCCATGAACTGTTTAAAACCAACAAGTTGTTTAGTTGTGTTATGACAAAATGCGTTTTCTGATAATTGAGTTACTTTTCGCATTTCGATTTCGATGTGACTTAATCCTTATCCAATACAGTGCTAAAGGGTTTGCACTTACATAAACAGTATGACCTTGTATGTTGTAATTAAGTTTGTCACCACACTTAAGTGAAATTTTATATATGTATATAATTATGCTTGTTAAACAATTTTCAAACATAAAAAAATATGTAAAATATTGATTTTGTCCACATTATATGTACTAATTAAAATAAATGCATTCATTTTTTATTGAAAAAAATGACTTAGACTTTATAGAAAATAAAATTCTAATGACCTCACATTATTAACATGAAATGTAAATTCGGCAATATCATTACAAATAGTGCTTTTTGGAACTTACAATATTGATAAATCTTCATTTTAGCATTATTTTTATGATACAAAAAATAAAAATTGAATTACAGGATCTTTAATAACGAAAACAAAACAAATGCACAATAAGATGAAAAATAGCGTGTATGCAAAATTCCTCAAACTTTATTACTGTTGCACTATCACAAATGCATGCTCTTAGCTTTAAATATACAACACTGGGTGAATTATTGTTTCTACAAAATTCAAGCCAAGTTTATTGGAGAAAAACACCCACACAACCAAAATTTTGCTTATGAATAAACATTAGGTCTGTTATTTGTTGAATTAAAAAAAATTTGGGTTTGTACTTTGTCCACAGCTGAGGCCAAAAACCAGCCTGGTCACATAAAAAACCCAGTCTTAACAAGTCCTTTATAGCACAACACAACTTGTGTTATCAACGAAAAGTTACATTCAAGATGAACAAGTTTATAAAACAAATCCGGTCGATGGCACAAACTTTTCAAACACCCAAAACTTATGTTATAACCTTAAAACTAGCAAATTCTAAAATTTTGAAAAAATCATAATAAGATTATAAATAACGTGTTGCAAAGCTCCTCAAAATCTTTTTTTTCAACGTTGCACTAAATGTAACTGCATGATCCTAGCATTTAAAGTGTACAAAATGTGAAATTACTGTAATACATTTAGACAAAAGCCAAACCAATCCGAAACCAACATATTTTTCAGATAAACATAAAGCCAATAAACTTTGTTTTCCCTTTGATCACACTGAGGCCAACCAAAACCCGGGTCCATAAACCCGTCCTCACAATTCCATTATTTGCATTGCAACTTTTTATTATTTAACGAAAAGTAAATTATTTGAACAGTTTATACCAAATCTTCGGTAGTCACAAACTTAATAAGGAAAAGCCATAAGAATTGTGATTTAACCTAAGCTTTGAGGTGCTCAGACTAGCAGTTCTAACTAATTTACAAATCTATAATATGATAAAAATAGCGTGTATAAAGCTCCTTAAACTTTATTTCACTTGCACTAACATAAACGGCATTATCTTGGCTAAAAATTAAAAAAAAATGTGAATTTCTTTAGACATTGAAATTAAAGCCAAACCAATCGAAGAAAAAAAAACATACCAACAACATATATTTACAGACACATTGCGTTATTCTTTTGTGGGATAAAACTTTATTTTACCTTTGTCACAGCTGTTTCCAAGCCAGCCTGGGTCACATAAACCAGTGTTGCATTGTCCAGTCGTAGCATTACAACTTGTATTATCACGACAGTTACATACAGAGGAACAGTTTATACCAAATCGTCGATGGTCACACACTTAATAAGGAAAAACCATAATAATTATGGTCTAAACGCTCAATCTAGCAGTTTTACCTAATTTACAAATCTATAATACGATAAAATTGCGTGTATGCTCCTCATAATTGATTAATGCCAAAGATAAATAATGCTAGATTGTGTGGGTAAAGTAAAATGCTCATGGTAGTGTTTGTAAGAAGTTTTACACGTATAGATGAATTAAACTATGAGCCACAATTCCCTCATCGCTATTGGTTGGAATCCCAGTAGGGACTCTTAGTCTACAGAAGGCCAATTGTCGCTAAATGGTTGAACTGAGGGACACTGTAAATATTTCACCATATGTCTAGTTAAACTGGAATATATTACTATTAATGTTCAAACCAAGGATTTATTATTAATTTTAAAACCTTAATCAAAACTAGGACCATGTTTGCAAGGACTGCATACACTTCCGGATATTGGATCAAAACTCGATATACCTCGACACACAGAGACTTACTCCTTCATGTAAAAGTTTTCAGTAGGTATTTAGTAGGCAAACAGGCGAATGTAACTCAACTACAGCCCTGGGAACCTCAGTAGTTTTATAGGTCTGTTCTTAAGGTAACATACTCATGAAGTGATGTAGAATTCTATATTTTAATCATAATAATGGTACCTCATTAGGCATTAGGCTAACTTTATATTTCAAATTAATAATACTTTTTAAATGAAATAATAATTCATTTATAATAATGAAATAATTAATGAAATATGAAAATGTGATTATGGTTTTTGCTTACAATTACAATTCAATCGGATTAATAAAATTGAAGCAATTCAAGTCCGCATAAAATCATTAATAATCGCTTTCAAAGTAAATTTAGAACAAATCTACTATTTGATTGCATTACTTTTGTAAAATATAGGGCTTTTCTGTTTTCTGACAAGAATTGCACAAATTATTTTAAGTGTATATAACTATATGTCTGCTGCAAAAGTAAAGTTTCAGTTTTGAAAAATGATGTTTCAAATATACGTGTCTGTAAGAAATACGTTTCCTTAAGTGTGAATTGGACAAGCACCAACTTACTGCTAAATGATTAAACCCTACCTGAAATTGCAACATAATATGTTTCTTCAGAACATTTTAACCTACTTACATACAGTATTCTTGTATGTAAAATAACAGAGAATTTCAATGTAAAAACTCCTTTGTTGTGTATGCCAATTGAACATTTACTTCATGTTTAAGTTTCGTGAGATATTTGTGAGATTGCCATAAGAAACCCGAAAATAGCTGTAAATTATAGCTTACACTTAAAACTGATAAATAGCGTTGACATGAAAACGTGTCAATTTTAACTGATAAAATAATTCGAATTATAATTTTCTTGTCTCCTAAAATTATTCAGTCGCCTGTCAATATTCAATTTTTTTCTGTATTTTTATATGAGCTTTACGTACCAAAAGTGCTAGAAAATGTTTGAAAAGTAAGAAAGATTGAGAATAATAACGATTGATAATCAGTTTAAATGCTATCAGTATATTTAATTACCGTAATTACAACTAATCCCTTGCCAGCCAGCTTCACATAATTTAATGTCACATTTTCCATCACGGTGATCACATTCAGAATTGTTTAAACAGTGACAAGTGTCTCTACAGTTATCTCCGAAATGAGGAAAGCTGCATGCTTAAATGTGAGAATGTTACAATATGATGTTATATGATATAAGATGATAATGATGAATACATCTAAGCGGAATATAATGATGAATTGAACCCAACTACTAAATAACTATTATCTCAACATTAAAATCCTATAAAATCAATATTCAATTTTGGTAAGTGTATCTAAAGAATATTAGTCTGTTGGTGTTTTTGTTGTTGCTTTAAGTTTCATTTATTTTATTAAAGTTTTTAAAGTTCATCAACATTTTATAAAGGAAGAGAAAGAAAAATATTATTCATAGTTCATAGCTAATCATCTCTTATTATGCAAAAAAAAAAAAAAAAAAAAAAAAGAGGCTAATGTCATGACAGTTGTATTCTAGCTAGATTTAAACTTGCAAAATAGAAAAACTTTTGAAAACATTTACCTTTACTACAATTTGATAATTCCCATCCCGGATCACAACGGGAGTTATTGCATTTTCCCGAATCTTTTGCACATGATCCATTAGTAAAACAATGACACTGGTATGCACAGTTTGATCCAAAATGTTGGTGACCACATGCTTCAGTAAAATTGAAATACAAAAGTAATTATACTGTGTATATTGCCAGACGAATACCTTAATTGTTTTTTTTCTAACAATAAACATGATGAAGGATTTGTTTATTCGTTTGTAATTTATGGAAACTATTTTCGTCTTGTTTTTTGTTTCTATTATCTATAAGTACAGTCGTATCTCATTCTTATATATTCCATTATATTCTTAGTAATCACATCATATTTTCATCTTCATCTTGTAGGAATTAACATTTTGTTGAATGCCACTTTTATTTTTGTTAAAAGGCAACACATTGCATTGAAAGTACTGGAATTCAGCAAAACATTATATAGTCGCAATATCACCTCTAAAATACGTGTTGAGGTTATTTATAAAGTGATAAACTTTACATTTCTTAAGAAACAGGAAATGTCTTTAACATTAATAACATACATAACTTGCAAACTGAAATGCATCCTTAGTTCGGAATTTTCCAATAACCATTCTCAAGTGGTTCACTTTATAAGAAAGGTAAATAGGTCGTAGCGCAATTGCTTTTTTTCAATAGTTATCAAATGCATTTACTAAATTTGCACCAGCCCAGATGGATTATCACATCAAAGTTTGAAGTAAATTATGATATTTCTTTTACTAAATATGACATATTCACGAAATCTCCGCGTTAATAAGTAGTATTTCAATGTCACTTTGCACTTACATTTATTACAAGATGCTCCTTCCCAGCCAGGTAAACATCCTTTACTTATACATGTTCCTTTGACTTTCTCGCAATTCAGCTTGTCAGCACATTTACACGGATTAGAGCATTTATCTCCAAATGTTCCAACTGGGCATTCTGGTATGACATTTAAAATGTTATAGTCTTACATAATTGTATCATTAAGAATTTGTTTTTCTTTCTTAACCTTTCTTTGGTCGATCATTTTTAAATATTAGCGTCACAGAGAATTCATTTTAATTCGATTGTATAGAGAGCTATGCTCTTATTAAAGCACTCTCATTTGTTTCTTGAAACAAGATAATAGTATAAAGGTTCTTGCTCAAATAGAGGCTTGTCTCTGACGGTGACGGACCTCAACCTGTTAGCAATTCTAACAGATAACTAGTCCGACATGTCAACCCCTCTGCCGCGCCACTAAAATTTTCTATATACTTTACTGTCAGAAATCTTTATAATTTGACGGGGCTAAGGAAAATGTATTTAAAGAAATACCAGTGTAATTTAATGTTTAGCGTATCTATTACACTTAGTTCATACATGTATATTTACCTGCTTCGTATAGTTTGACTTCGCATAGTGTTAATACATCGCCCTGTTTTTGAATTTTAAGGTATTGAAATAATCGAGGCTCCATGAGATCCTTCAGAAATATATGTCCTATAGAAGAATTGATCGGTAACATCGTACCTGTCTGGTTGACTACCATTGAAATATTGTTAATGTAGCCAATTATGCTTTGACTTTGTTGGAAAAGATCTGAAAATATTTGCAAACTTTCATTAACCAATACGTTTAAAGTATATACATTCAAATTCGCCCTTTTATGGAATAATCATGTAAGAACAATATTTTCATACATGGACAATTATTTATTTTGATAAATAAAGTATAATAAAATGCTTTAAATTAACAGATACATGTATATGATTCAGTAAGACGATCAACAAAATTTTTAATGTCAAGGACGTGATGATAAGCAAATAACGGTAAAAAGTTAAATTTATATACCAAATACCAACAGTCAATATTTGAAATTTATAATAAAAAATAGGATATTTAATAACACAATTTCTCATTGTAAAGCAATTCTGTGTCAAAACTGCCCAGTGACTTAACGAAATTATACTCTAAATACTTGCTAGATCTGCCAAATATCTTTATGAACTTCACAAGAAACATCGACCCCAAGTCCAACTGCCACCATGAAACATGAACACTGCTTTTGCTTTGTGCTACGCTGCAAGCCGCACATAAATTCGCATCATTGGATGGATTAACTGGTGCATCTATACCGTCAATTGCACGGTGAGCGCTACAGTTGCTGTACATCTTTGACTGAAGTGCTGTTGCAGATGTTGTATTGCGCCGAAGGATGTTAAGATCTAAAACATTTGTGATTCAGAAGATAGCTTATCATAACCATTTTTACGTGTAACTGAGATGATATTAAAGATACAAAAACGAATTGCGAAATACGATAAATGCAGATGGAATATATTACATATTTGTTTTGATTATCAAGCAGTTGATCATAGAATACCTACATGACAAGCATAATTGTACGTTTAGTAAGATTTGCTAGTCGAAGGTTGGAGAGAGGCTGTTTATTGTTGGTTTATGGGTATGAAAACTATGTTAGATACAGTTGATTTTTGTAAGATTAGATAAAGTTGTAACAAATACTTCCTTTGACAAAATTTTATGTACAAACTGTTCATTAAAGAAAGAAGTTGGTTGTTTTTACTGTTCTCATCATTTTTCTTTTAATTTTGTAATGTCACAATTATAATGATTTCTGTATCTCCTGAACATTATTAACTAAGATGTTATAAGTTTAATTCATTTATATACTTTAATATTCTATGATACGGAAATAACGAATACAAAGTTATTCGACTCTTAAAAATTCTACTTCATTAAAAAATGTTTGCATCAATTAAGTAGCAGTTCAATTTTGAGTAGTATTCTAGTACGTATTCTCGTAAATTAAATACATTACCAGTATGTTTCTCAAATTACATTTTTATAGTGATATTAACACTTTCGCTATATAACTAAATATGCGACAATTCCTCTACATGATTTTGTCTTTTGTTATACAAATTAGACCGGTTTTACCATTTATACGTTCACAATGGTGTAAACACTGACCTATCAATAAAAATGAAAGGACGAGGTACAGTTATTTCACAGTCAAGTTTAACATTGGCCTTCGATCGAGCGTTTGCCCTTATGCAATGGAAAGGTTTGTCTAGTCGGTTCAAACCAATCCATGAAATACAAATTAATGACCTGACACAAAAGTGAATTCATATTTATTATGAACAAAAAATATCTTAAAAGTTTAAAGTCTATATTGAAACTTGGTCAATAAGCTACAAAATGTTCTCACTCATTATTACTCTTTTGTTATTTTTATATAAACTTGACAATTATAAATGCACTATCATAACATAATGTTTTACATCCAGGCCAAACTTGTATATATCTGGTTGATGAACTGGCTCTTGTTTCCTACCTGTGGCCTTAATGAGCCAAATAGTTAAACTACGTACTTTAAGAATTCATATATCAATGGTATATTTGTTGACGAAAATATTTGCACTTTTAAGATAAAAAAATAATGTTAAAGTCTAAGTGTAACCTTCACCTTCAAAAAAAACTTCACTGAGGTCAAAAGCCTGAAATAAAAAAATGAATTGCCTACATAGGCCACCTGGGTAAAAAAACAATAAAAATATACCCAGAAATAATTAAAACTGCTATCCGTGGTCGATTTGAGTGAACAGTGTTGCAACGCTTTTCAATTTTTTGTTATTCCTTAACATTGATCTAGAGCTGCATCAAATTAAACATTCATCTCGAAATTATTTCTTGCTCCGTAATGTCAAGAAAACTCAGTAAGTCAATTTCAGCTTCAAATATGTACAAATTATATTAGCCATATTGTCAGATAATTAAGCTAAATTCCCCGAAAAAGTTTTGAATATTTTTTTCGACGGGTATAAAAAAAAAATGTATGCGCTAGCTTTTTTGGTTTAACTCCATGACTCGTGGGGTCTCCCTTGTAATATTCCCATATATAAGTTCATTAACTAAAATAAAGGTTTTTATGGAACAGAATTAATGCATTTATTCCATCTTGCTTGATGACATTGGAACTTGTATTATGCTTGATTCCATCTTGCTACATGACATTAGAACTTGCATTATGATTGATTCCATCTTGCTTTATGATATTTAAACGTTGCATTATTCTGGATTCCATTTTTCATTATTTCATTCAAACATTTCGTAGTGACCAATTCTCTCATTGAGTGATAACTATTAAACTGGAACAAGCCATTTGGAATACTAAAATGTTAACGTCATATACCTTTATGTATAAGCTACCTTTCTTTATGCTCTATACAAACTATTTACGGTTTAGTTTTTTTTGTATTACTTTTATGTAGAAGTCATTTAAAATTGTCTATTTTTTGTTCCCTGATGGATTTTGTTAAAATGTGACTTATTTGATTTACAACTCGCATGGCGTGATTACTATTAGCTTTCGCTTATATCCATTATTCAGTGTTTATGCTTAATAAAGCTCGGTGTCTGAGGCTTTGTGGATTATGTTTGATCATCTTACATTATGATAAACAATTTAAACAATGTCTAGCGATTTGTGAACTGTTAAGGGGCGAGAACTCTGTTATCGATATCAACGGATTTTTTTCCATGATTCGCCTATCATCGGAATTTTCCGTACATGTATATATGACGGAATACCGTTAGGGCCATCGTGGTTATACGTTAAAATACAGAGGGCGACAATGCTATTAATACGTACTAAGCGCTTAATACATAAATTGCAGTGGAAAGCATATAAAAACAAGTAGTATGGATTATGCAATATAATTTTATACAAGTATATTTATACAGTCTAATAGAAAAAATATGCTCGTAAACAGTTATTCAATGGGGCAGTTATACATACAGTGGCGGATTCAGGCCTTGGCTTAAGGGCTGCACCTACCCCCAAAGATACGTTGATGAGCTGGGATGGAATATGTACGTGTAAGTTTCATGCAATAGTGGTCATAGTGTACTCCCTTATCAAAACATATAATGCTGTCATCCAGTTGTTAAGCACCTGCCCAGGTACTGCGAAGGTCTTTATCAAATGACTTGGACTTTAAAAGCAAAACTTTTATTAATTGGCCTTTTAACTTAATAAATGTCTCAGAGTCACTAATAGTGGCGAATAGGTATGTAACACATTAAAATATACATGTATAATAAGGAAAGAAGGAAGTTGTTTATTTTTGTGACATGTGCATAGTCAATTACAAATGTTGGGCATATGTGTGTCTGACACATTCACATACATTTGTGCTTAAAGATATACTATGCACATCTTTCAGTAATGTATTTTTATCACAGAAATGTATCGAAATCTATAAAATTCTTACTAAATATGTTTTATTTAAATAAAAACACATACACATAATGTATAGGAATCTGCTTTCCTTATTACGGGCCAAGTAAAGTTGTGCCTGTCATTAAAAGAAACTTCCATATATATTTTTGTAATAACACTATACATGAATATTCATACTGCCCACTTACAGTGTAAAGGATTTAAAGCACAATGTTTGTGTGAAGCCAAATTACATTTATTTTATTTTACAAAAAAAAAACAAGTTTGTACTGTACAAAGTCGTGGCCACGAGTTTCTAAGTGACATGTGTGTGTTTTTATTTATCTCGTGCGCACGAGATACTGTGCCGTGGCCACGAGTTACTAAGTCGTGGCCACGAGATAGTTAAGTCGTGGGAACGAGATAACTAAGTCGTGCAGACGAGATAATTAAATAAGATTACACCATGATTTTTTAAACTTAGAAAATTTCTGTTTAAAGATTTACGTGCAACATTAATCTTTGAAAATACTGAATTGTTCACTTTGAACTTAATATATGTCTTTAGGATCATAAGGCCCATAAATCAGACATTAATTTTGACTAAGTTATAGCCCTTTGTTGGGATAATTCTATGATAGAATTGGTCATTTTTTACGTACAAAGGCCTGTTAACATTGTTTATACCATAACTTGAGAGGGACTTAGTCCTGGTTTATTTTATTGGGAAGGGACATTGCCCATGGACAGTAGATATCCTATAAGGATGTTTGAGGTCACAGGTCAGATAAACATGACACTTCATGTAAAATCCTTGTCTGATGAATGATTTAGAAAGAATAAGCCGTAGTTTATATAACTTAAAAAGATCAGTAGATGACACCTAATAATTTTTAGGCAATTTGGTCAGAAATCAGGGTCACGATGACGCTAAATCTTTGACTAATCAATAACTTGTATAAATGGCACTTTTACGGGCAAGTGAAGTAGGGACATTCTTGTTAGGAAAATTCATATAAATAGTGTAATTTGATTGGTTATTTGTCTCGCACGACTTAACTTTCTCGTGGCCACGACTAAACTTTCTCGTGGCAACGACAACTTGTTCCAACGACTTATTTATCTCGTGGTCACGACTTAGTCACTCGTGGCCACGACTTAGTTATCTCGTTCCCACGACTTAATTATCTCATGGCCACGACTGAGTAACTCGTGGCCACAACATAGTATCTCGTTCCCACGACTTAACTATCTCGTGGCCACGACTTAGTAACCCGTGGCCACGACACAGTATCTCGTGCGCACGAGATAAATAAAAACACACACATGTCATCTTTGTGCCACCTGAAGTTTGATAAAATTCAATTTCACTTATCACACACGCTCAAAAAGAAGTGTAAACAATTGTATAAGAGGTGAGGTGCCACTTGTAGGATGAGTTATTAGAGACATATATAAACTTTTTTCCACATGCTGGCGGAATCTTCAAAAACACGCACTTTTCGTCTGTCGCATTGTGTTCTCTTGTTTTTCAGTAAATTTACATGTCAGTCCCCAACTAACACTGTTCTGTATACGCCCCTAAATAAAGTGGACGTAACTTTGTTTACTCCACGTGCCAAAATACGGAAAATAACGGGATGTACCGACAAAGCGACACCTGCTGTCATAATATGAACACAAATTATTGCAACTCGCATTATGCTTACTGCCAACTGCTTAGTGCGTACTGTCACATGCGACTATAATATCGCTATCGTTGTCATCTTCGTTGTCGATGCGCAGTGATCATGTATTGCATTATATTTGTAATCAGTGAGTATATTGAAGCATATGAATGCTAAGACACATCAAATTCGCCAATTATTGATCAAAATGAATAGTTTATTTTGACATAATGTCGACAATATAAGTGGCAGATTTATAGCAAATTAAAGATACAACTACCATGTTACAGTGTCGAATGATGGATGTTTATGTATAAACTGTTTGATCTTGTGGGGGTTTTGTCAGTTAATATCTCTACAATGAAGCCATAATGAATTTATTTGTATTTATACCATTGTAAAATACTTTTGTGTCATCATAGCAGGGCGACCTTTAGTTAAAAATGTTTTTGAAAATAAATCGTTAAATCATTAATGTACAATGCGTTAACAAGAGTACCAGTATCAGTTACACGCACTCCAGTTACCGCAATATCTACCGGGAATGTAAATACAGCATGCTCTTAGATTAGCTACATGTTTTTGAGATTTCCTGATTGTCCCGACAGGGAAAGGAAAAACTGTCGAGTAGTCAGATTTTGATGCTTGAGGATTGGATGCATTTTCTGGGGTTTACATATTGTGATGCTAGGGATACAAAAGGAAAAGAACAACATTGCACTCTGCACTCCTTCCCCTTGATTGAATTAGATAACTTCGTGTTTCGGTATTTTTTCTTTTACATAAATTATAGATATTGTTCTGACTTAAAATATCTTAGATTTGACAATCATATACCTATACTGCAATTGAAACCAGCCCAACCGATGTCACATTCATTTGAACAGTTTCCTTGAAAAATATCACACTGTGAATTGCCTGAGCAGTGACACGGATCGGCACAATTTGGTCCAAATGTGCTGTTTCCGCAATCTGTAAAATACAAAATAAATTAAATACAAATTTATTATTAATTTATCTTAATAACGTACACTTCATAATGATCATATACAACTTTGTCACAATGCAGCGTAAAGACTCATATAAACAAATGTTTTAATAATAACTATAACATCCGTTTAATAACGTTACTGTTTTGTAGTTTGTTTGAATGTGACAATGTATCTGTTTTGGTTTAAAATGCAAAAGCAATACAATATGATTAAACTTAACTATAGGAAACTACACGTAAGTCTTCTTTTGCCAAAAGCTTCCATGTTTGACATGTAGCATTGGTTTTTTTTGTTTTTATTTTATGTCATACAAACGGTATATAAGTTATTATGCCTGAAGAAAAAAAGGACCATGTTATATGTGTCATTTAGCTGAGATGAACTTGTATGGTAAGAATGTCTTACAAATCAATCTCCTTCTCAGAAAGTACAATGCCCAGAACTGAAATTTTTGTCATTTCAGAATCACATGCGAGTACGCTATAAGAATTATATAATTCATGCAGAAGGATAAAAATTGACCCCACCCTCTGGCCACATAATCTATATAGTTTGTACATAAAATTTCATTTAAGTTTTCTGCTGTGAAACGACCGACTGACGGACAGAGAGACGGAGTAATGATTTCAATATGTCGCCGCTACTATGTACTCTGTAGCAGGTGGCACAAAAAAGACGTACTCATAAATGCAGCTTTTATAAATAAAATATAAAATTACACTTGTACAATATACAATAACGAATAATTGCTAATGGAAATAAATGCTGAAAAAGTAGATTAATTACAAGGATTATTGACTTTTTTATAACTTACATCCAGACAAAGAAACATAAAGGAGAGATTATCAGAGATTACAATTATTTCAGAAGCACCAAAGATATTTGGTTACTTAAAGTGAGTTTGCATGTAATGACACAATAATAACTAAAACCAGTTTCGATAAGTTGTTTGAACAGAAGCTGAAAGCCGACAAAACGATTGCTATAGAGGAACTGGCCAAGTCTGGAACGACATTGTGCACCCTAATTAAGTATAAAGTAAATATAATAAGCCACTAACTTGTTTCACACAAATGACCATTGAAGCCAGCATTACATCCGTGAAAACAAAATCCGCTGGAAATGTTGCATGCCAAGTCCTTGTTACAGTGTCCACACGGCTTTGAACAATTATGTCCGTAAAATCCGCTTTGACATGCTGAATATTAGAATATATAAGATTAAAAAAGGAAAGGAAGAGTTAATAAAAATATGAATACAAGTCGTGAAAGAGTATATTTGTTATTGCTCCTTTCCAATAGTGATTGCATGTTCAGAAGATTCATACAGACTGAACCAAGCATGTGATTTTCACCTATAAATCAGTGCTTTAGGAAAATCTCTCCTTTCTTAATTTAAACAAATAACAAAATCTGAGTAAAAATGAGGGAAAATACGTTTCAATTACTAGTGAGTACTTAGCTCGGGTGTCATTTGACACAATGTATCGTGCTTACAGCTAAAAATGTAGTCAATGTACTGATTATATAATCGAAAGAAAAAAGATACCCTACATCCGACACATCCTTGTCAAACGAAATGCATGTTTTGTACTTTTATTTATTTATACTTGAAATCACTAATTTATCACATTAAAGTTAGATAAATCCCACCCGTTATTAGCTACACGTATCTCGCTACAATTCAAATAGTTTTCAGATTGATGAAAATGCACCTACTTGTTTTGCATAAGTGATCTGTTAAAATGTATCCATCTAAACACCCTCCAGAACAAGTACCATTAACGTTGTTGCATGGAAGACTGTTTGCACATTTCCCACACATATTTTTGCACTCATAGCCATAACTTCCATTTGTGCACACTGTGGTAATTAAATATACAACTGTTATGAAAGAAGTAGATTTCTCTTTCTATTTTAAAGGATACACGATAAACATAAAAATATTAATCTTGGCAATCGGTCGAGGAACTTCTAATCAAGTTATACTAATAAGTGAGTAAATAAATAAATAACGGTTATATTTATTATTATTTTTTACGTGTACTTACTTGTGTCGCATGCTTGTGAAGTCCATCCTGCTGCACATTCTCCATTCGGACACTCACCATTACCATTTTTACACGGTATACCAGATTCACAGTGACATGTCTTGTTACAGCCTTTCCCAAAATGAATTCCATCGCATGCTGTGTTAAAATTATATATCACAATCAAATAAAACAACTTTATATTGTCGAACGTGTTTATTATTATCTTTATTTCTTTTAATTTTAATGGTTATTTTCCATAGGTCAATAGGAGTTATTCTTACTGTTTATGTACTATATATACCACATGACTAAGAAATTTGTACTACAGTATCTTTCAACAGTAAACAAACGATCCTTCTCTTTTTTTTACATAATAAAATGGCCGACATTTATACACAAAACATACTAACTTTGTCTGGGTCATGTCCAATGTTTATTAAAGCGACCTATATGCTTTAACAGGTACACAAGATGTATCTCGTACGTATCGTAATAATATAAAAAGTTAGGTAGTATTAAATTATCCTGCTACGATTTAACGTAGTGTCTGTGATTCTCAATCAGAAAGACATTTACCCTATTAAAATTGCATAAACATTTGATGTACCATATCAGGTTAACAATCCGCAAGAGTTTCGTTACAAAGTCCTCTCTGCTAAATACCCGCTTAAATGTTTATAAAGCATAACATCAGATGGTGAGCAATGGACACATAATGCATCTTTAACTGTCATAAATAGATATTTTATGTTTATGTCATGTATCAGTTGTTACATAACAAATCTGTTATTACGAGATATGACATAAACAATTTTTTATGATTTTAAACAATACAGTGTAAGGATACATACGAGTTTTGCAAAGTGTGTCTGTTGCGTTATAGAAATACCCATTAATACAGCCGCCAAAACATGTTCCGTTCACGTTATTACAGGTCGTACCATCTACACAGTGTCCACAACTGCTGCTACATTGATTACCATAGGTACCACTATCACACACTGTTCGAAGGTATACAATATATTATGATACTTATGTGAGGTATATTGTACGTAACTGATAATGCAAATACACTAAAAGGTTAATGCCATCTTGTTGTGCATGAACATCTGCAGAAGCACGAGAACGAATTAAAAACCCGAGCCCGCATAGCATTAAATCGTTTAAGTACGCATGCAGCACGTATTTGATAATATTTGTGTTGTACTTTGCGTTTTGTTAACTATATTACTTATGAGGAGACTTTTGCCTTTGTCATGCTTTCCACTTACTAGTGCGATGTAATTTGGCAGTTATGTTTTAATAATAAAACTACCGTGACCGTCATTGAAAACATTGCGACCTTAGTCACGCATATTAAAAATGTCACGAGAATGTATCAATTAATAAATATTTTCTTCTCCGTTAAAGTATACATGCGTGCACAGTTTTGTATGCAATAATGTTATTTATCAAATATGAAGGGGCCGTTCGGTTTAGCATTGATACCATATAAAATAAATTTTGTAAACAAACAAAGGCAAGGAATTATTTTGTTACCTTGACTACAAGATTGTCCTTTCCACCCCGGATCGCATAGTCCTGTTGAGCATATTCCATTGATTTTGTCGCAAGTCGAGTTATTAAAACAATTACATTCTGTACTACAATTTTCGCCAAATCTTCTGAATGGACAACCTGAGATAAAAAACAACATATTATATTAGGTGATATAAATTGTAAGATCAAAGGAAGTTAAATGTGAAAGAATGTATGATAAAAACCCGTATTTTATAAAAAAAATCGTATCAGAAAACGTTTTGCACACTGTTATGTATAATGTATGAGAGAACACTTATATAAGTACGCAACAATATTACACTTTGTTTACAGATAAACTTGACATTATTTGTCATATATGAATGAAACATTAGTTTTAGCTTTTATTATACACAAAGTTCCATTTACAGAAGAAACATACACAAGTAACTGTTTTGTTACCTTGACTACAGGATTGTCCATACCACCCCGGTTCGCATAATCCTGCTGTGCACATTCCATCGATGCTGTTGCAAGCCGTGTTATAAGAACAATGACATTCTGTACTACAATTAATGCCAAATCTTCTGAATGGACATACTGTGATGAAATATATCTTATGTGAGATAAATAACATGTACAAAGGGAAGTCCATGTTAAAGAATGTACAATAAGATTACTTAATCGTATAGTTAATTATAAAATTGAAATGTCCTTTTTAAAAAAATTTTCCTGTACCCAGATGTAAACGAATTCTGCATTATATACTTTTTTACCATTATTCATGTTTGGGCCCCTTCCCACCCTGGAAAACACCCCGGGTTTTGCATTTTCCTGTCAAACTTTACGGGTGTTTTGTCACCCATCTTTTTAGGCAAGGTTTTTCCAAAACGCCCTACATGGGGCACATGGTACTATAAAGGGGGAAAAAATTTTTTACCGATAACTAACACTAAATTCTTTATTTATATGATACTACTCACAAAAACCTTTCATTCATGTACTGTATCATGTTAAATAAAACATTCCAAAGCCATCCAAAGATACCAGCCGTTACGCTCTTATAATTACATTGCATTCAAACAGTTGATTTGTGCCATTCGTGTTTTCGTTCCGCAACCCCGCCAAGCAAAATGTCGAAAATTAACAAGTTAAAACGGCGGGGTCGCAGGACGACAACACTATTATTAGCGAGGGTGCGGGGCGAAGTTTAATAAATATAACTTCGCCCCGCGGGGGCGCGGGACGAGATTTAAGAAATAAAACGGCGGAGGCGCGAATCGACAATACGCTAATTAGCGCCCCCGCTAATAAGCGTGTTGTCGCTCCTCGCCCCCGCCATTTAAACTTGTAAATTATCGACTTTTCGCTTGGCGGGGTCGCGGGACGAAAACACGCTAACTAGCGGGGAAGCGCGGCGAAGTTTTACTTATTAAACTTCACCCCGCGCCCCCCCCGCTTATAAGCGTGTTTACGTCCCGCGACCCTGCAGTCGTATTTCTTAAATCATGCTCCACGCCCGCGCGGGACGATGTTTAATTTATTTTACCTTGCCCTGCGCACTCTCGAAATAGTGTGTTAACGCTCCGCGCCCCCGCCGTTTTTACTTGTTAATTTTCGACATTTCGCTGCCGTTTTATTTCTTACCCCCGCGGGACGAAGTTTTATTTGTTTAATTTCGCCCCGCGCCCTCGCTTATTAGCGTGGTTTTGCTCCGCGCCCCGCCGTTTTAGCTTGTTAATTTTCGACTTTTCGCTTAGCGGAGTCGCGGGGCGAAAACACGAATGACACAAAACAGCCACCATAGATATTGAAAAAAATCTTAAGTTTTCCATGGGGTTTCATTACGGTCGGAAAGTTGTATTGTTAAATTGTCACATAAAATTGAAACATAACTTGAAGAGATTCTAAACAGAGCAAAAGTGAGATTTTTAGTTTGTTTAAAACATAAATATATATAAAACATAACAAATGAAAAAAATAAAATATCGTTAAGAATTGCCGGGACCTCACGCATTTGACCCTAGTCGGTAAGTTCTGTTAACGTTACGATACACTATAATATATATAACATATATTTGTTAACGTTATGATATAATATAATTTATATATAACCAGTTGTTGAATGGTCTAATTTAATTGATAAAAATCTTCATGTAGAAAGGAAAAGCGCTTATAATGTATAACATAAACCCTACAAAAGCGGTGCTTTAGAAATGCATTTTTTATTTAAATAACGGTTTGAAAATTATTACCGACCTAACAAATGTGCACAATTCAGTGGAATTTTTGCATTTTTTTTGCATGATTTCAACAGTCCTGGGTTACGGGATATATACTGTAATATTTATGAAATGATTATATTTATGCCTATGTGTTTCTTAACTTCACAAGTTTTCTTTTGTATAAAGAACAATAGAACAAAAATAGGTCGGTAAATATTTTCAGACCGGTTAAGCAGTCAGTCTTTTTTTCAATTTATTTATTCACTCAGATCATGCAAACATGACAACAAGAGGTAATAATACAATTACATGTGACATGCATCATGTCAAAATATATGCTTGGCTGTGCAATACTATTTTAACGTAGTCGATCAAGCGGCACGGGTATGTGATAAAAACTTTAACAACCTTGATAAGATTAGGCCTACTTCATTAAAAATATAAAAATGTATTTACCTCTGCCATAAACAATAAATTCACAAAGCGTAAGTATAGATGCGTTTAATGTTATATTGAAAATCTGTGCGGTAACTGGCTCTTTAAGTTGATAGTCGAAATGTGTTGTTGTTGTTGTTGTGATTGTTGGTAGTACGTATATAAGTTTCGACGGGTTCACAGCGTTATCAAAACTCAAATTGCCAGCGAAGATTTTCGCTCCTTGCAACTGCACATTATTATCACCTTAAATTCAAAAAGAAAACGGAAATAAGCAAAACTTACATTTGTAAATAATCATAACATATATCTTAAAGCTGTTAAAAATCCTATAAAATACCAAAGTTAGTGTATTACAATCTCTATCTACATTTTTTAAAATATTAAATGAATGTCTATTGATAAATGATTGCTATTTGTTTAATTGAAGCATTTTGTTCACAATAAAATCTTTTAACTATGGATAAAACAGCTTTTCTCATTGGTTGCTTTTTCGGTTAGGTTCGAGGTCAAATTTGTACCACTACTCCATTCCATTTGTTGTACTTTTATAAACAACCAAAAATTGGTTGTTTCATCAGTTAGGTCAAGGGTCACTTTTGTTCCACTACGCCAAACTGCATTTAGGTTTGGTTTTGGCACCTTTTAATTACAGTTTTCGTCAAGACACGTACACAGACGGTTGTTTCTCCAAATTTGTTTTTGGATAGGTTTTTACTGTGCCCGAATTTCACTTTGAGAATATTTCCTTTGGTTCTCCGTATACGATGTAGAGAAGCGAACTATTTATTTTCAGTTTTTCAGGGACTACCTTGTTTGTGTGTATTTAAGGACAGGTATTGCTTTTATTGTTTTTAAATTTTGTTCCAATATGAGTGACCGGATGTCAACTAGAATCAAAGATGATCCTGACTGCAAATCTATGAATGACGGGAAGGATTTTACTTATAATCGTAAGAAGCAGCAATTAATAGAACCTGTTCCGGCTTTTCCCCTTCATTTCTTTAATTTTACTGAGGAAGATTCTACTGCGACACCGCCTGATGTACTTCCGTAATCATGTCCAAGTTCAAATTGTCCGAAAAAGAGAGTTGAAAGGCCGTTAATGAGCTAGAGAAGTTCTTACTTTCTCAAACTTCAGGTCATCTATTTGAAAAAGGGCAAGACATCAGACTTGGACCCCTACTTCTAGTTAAAGGGTGCCGGGGTAAACCATCCTAAATCTTTTGTTTTTGGGGAAAAAATAAAGTTTTTATTGGTTCCCAAAAAAAATAAAGCCTAATTTGATCCATTTAAAAATTTGAGCCGGAAAATCTAAATTTTAAAAAAACACCCTGAAAGGTAAATTTTTTCCCACTTAAAAAAAAAGAAAGTTAAAATGGTGGAAAAAAATTTAAATTTAAATTTAAAAAAGTTAATAACCAAAAATCCAAAAACCCCTTTAAAAAAAAGTGGACGAAAAGGGCTGAAAATTTAATTTTGAATAAAACGACGGGTTTCGAAATTAAATTTAAATCGGAATATTTTGTAGACGAAAACCCAAACCCCCTTTGGCAAAAAAATAGGGAAAAATACCGATTAAAAACAAAACTTGTTTTCTTCAATAAATTTAGGAAAAAAAAAATATTCAAGAAAAGAAAAAAATTAAAAAAAAATGTTTTTTGGTTTTGGGGGCAAAAAAATACTTGATTTTAAAACCAAAAAAATAAAAGTAATTTTTTCGTTTTTGCCAAAAAACCCTTGTAAGGCCCTTGTTTTTCAAAAGGTATTACAGCCCAAAAAAATCCCAAAATTTTTCCCAAAAAGCGGGAAAGAAAAGTCAAAAAGTAGCGTTACAAATTTAAAAAAGAAAAAACAAATGATTAATTTTTACGATTTTTTATAAAGGGCACGTGATCAAAAAGAGGTGAAAATTTTTCTA